TCTCCGGGAACCAGCTGTCAGACCTTGACCTATAGGGCAGGACGTCCAGCCCTGGGGTTTCCAGCTTTTTGAGAAAAGAGCCAAAATGCACTCTAGACCTGGTCTGGCCCCCTCTCCTCCGAGCCTCCTCCAATGTCCACTTCCCTCCCCAGGCCCCTTGGAACCCCTTCCCTGTTCAGGTGAAGGGAATGGCAGTGGGTAGGAAGGGGTTAATTCTAGGGATTAGGATGCTCCACTGTCCCTGGGATGTTGCCTCTCTGCCTTCAGCCATTGGTGACCTTATTTTTCCATGACCACAGTCTTCCCCTTTCGAACTATGATGGACTTAATATTTTCTTTAATTTTCTACACTCTTGCATCCTTGAATCTGTTCATTTAAAAACGAAACATATATTGATGTCATAACTAGAAAACCTTTTTTTTGCCCTGAGACTCATAAACTTAAAAATAATAACACAAGGAACATAAAACCACGGATGCTAGCGGGATAAACCTCAGGGCCACTAAGGTGTTAAAGACACATTAGTAACCGGTAGAGACTTTCTCCTGGGCCCCGGGGACTAGGCTCCTGCCTGTGGATCTCTGTTTGAGCTACTTGTTAGCTGTGCCTCAGCTTCCCCCTCTGTAAATGGGAGGCAGAGCTGCACCTGCCTCATAGGTGTTTTGCAGTCAATGAGTTGAAATAGACACAGCACCTGAGTCAGGCCTGGCGCAGATTAAGTTCTTTATAAATACTGTAGTCGGCTATTTTAAAAATTACTAGATGGCCCCAGAGACAAGCCAGTCATGTGACTTATTCAAAAAGGAAACAACTTTCCTACCATGTGATTCTCTGTTGGTTAACTCGGTGCCCACAAACCCCTGAAATGTAAGTTTCCCACCAGGGGAAACCCTCGCCCAGAAAGGCGGTCTCCAGCACTGTGGCCCCTTGGTGGTCTGAAATTTCTCTACTTGCTGCCTGCCTGGGATCCATGAAGGACACCTTCATGCTCCTCCAGCCCCTATGTGGACTCTGGACTCTCTGTGCCTGTTTCCTCCTCTGAAAATCAGGGGGGCGGGAGTACCCTTAGCTCAGGGGCTGGCCTTGGAGAGTAGGACATTCTAAGGCAGTGAGCACAGGGGAGTCCCCAATTTGTAAGCCCCGAGGCATTTCAGACGTGGCCCCTCCCAATCTAAACAGCCCCCTGGACAAGACTCCCCCACCCCTGCCCTCACTGCCCCCCTTTGCCCTGGGGTAAGTGCCAGAGAGCACAGGGGGTCAGAATGTTTGTCAGAAGTTCAAACGGTGGGACAGCTGGCAGAGGATCTGAGAGCAGGGTACACACTGTGTGTGTGCGTGCATATGTGTGTGTGTGCGTGCGTGTGTGTGTGTGTGTGCGTGCGTGTGTG